CACACACACACACACACACACACACACACACACACACACACACGTACGTCAGGCTGCTGAGATCCTGTATGCGCTCTGGCTTTGTCTGCATAACATTGCTGCTGGGCTTTCTCTTCATTCATTGATACATCTGTGGCCTCCGTGTATTTTCTTCATGTTCTGTCCTTGGATGCTTCGCTAACAAGTCTGGCTGTACCGTGCATCTGGCAGCGGGTCCATCTGTTAGCTTTGGGAGCAACAGATTGCTAATGTGGAACTTTTTTTTTCTTTGATTGTAGAAGCCACGGTCGGGGACACTTTCTAAACAACTCGTTTTCTAGGTTTAAAATCCACCGAACCGAGAGGTTTATTACACAGATGAACACAAGGGCACAAGAGATTTAAAAAAAAAAAAAACATGCTACAGCTGCTGAGATTTTTAATTATGTTTATGATTTTTATTTATACGGCATTGTTGTTAACAGAGTTACAGAGTGCGTCACTGAATGAAGTTAAAAAAGTATTATGGTGACGTTCCAGAAATACAACTGAAGACAAGGCAGAATAACAAAATATTAGACAGGATTTAAAACACACTACTTTAAGCCTTTTGATAAAATAACATAATATGATGACATTTAAATGAGAAGTTTGTATTCTGGTTTGATTGGGCAGACTGGTCCAGTAATTGGGAGCACTAATGGCAAATTATCTTTGTTTGCTAGCTGAGTTGCTTTCACTAATTTTAGCCCTAGATATACCTTTTATTTTGAAGGCGTATATTCTCTGTTTCCTGTTTGTGATCTCACCACTCAGTGAGTAGTTGGCGAGTGTTTGCAGTTGGGATCTTACCTGAAAACTAGGATTAGCAGGTGAACCTAAATTGCCCAAGGGTGTGAATGTTTGTTCCCTGTGTTGGCCAGGATAGTTTCCAGCTCCCTGCTGTATAAAAGCTGTATAAGCGTTTAAGAAAATGGATGGATGGGTTCTAAAGTAGGAATGTACTCATCTAGTCCAATCCCGACTCAGAGCTGGATTCAGGATAAGGTTGTTTGGCTTCCTAGAGTGCTCAGGTGTAGCAGAGGGTCCGCTTTTCTGTGTGGTCAGGTGAGACGGTATTGCTGAAAAGCTCTGACAGCTGCGATGTTGTCACTTGTCCGGTGCTCATTGGAAAAGCTTTTGTTGCAATATTATGGTAACGAAATGTGTTGACACTGACGTCAGTAGGATTTCACTTATCAGCTCCCCTCTGCAAGTGAGTTTGTGTGCATGTGTGAGGAGGGGGGCACACAGTGAGAGCAAATAAAGGTGAGAGCAGCATGCAGTCACCTGATGATTTTCAAGCAGCATGTTGTGCTTTCTGCAAATTAGAGACAGTCAACACTGCACTACAGTGCAGCTTAGCACGTGCTCTTTTATTTGAGTTTAAAGAATTATAAGAGGAATGAGTGCCGGTCTGCGGCTGTCTGCTTATTAAATTCAGGTTTTAGATCAGCACTTACAAAAAAGGTATCCGGTATAAGAAATGAAAAGTTCTTGCAGACTTTGAATGCAAAATTATTATTAATTTATTAATAATTTTTTATTGATTATTGCACTGTAGAGGCTGGTGAGGAACAACATTTCGTTTCAGCTGTGGATTTCTGTAAATACCATGTGAAATGACAATAAATCCTACAAACTTATATTAAGTTAACTTAACTGAAAAATGAGAAAAAAATAGGAAAGCAATCTTCTTATGTCCACAAGAAATAGATGGCCATTTGACGATGGTGTTATCTTATTGGTTAAAACAGGTACTGATTTGCAGTTACAGAAAAATGTTAAAAATCTGGTGATTCCCACCTCTACGAAATACAGTGAAGGCTCCAAACACTGGACCCTTTGGTAGTCGGGCTGGGGGCCACAGGTCCTTTGTTTGACATCCTTGATGTAAGCCATCCATTCTTGTTGATGAATGCAGTGAATATTGTGGATTATTTTAAAAAATGTTACTAGAATTACACTTCAGCGTGCTTTATCATATCATGTTTTACCAAAAATATAGAATATTGCTTAGTTCCTTAGTTGTGAAGTATCAGTGCTGTCTCTATTAAAATACACACCACGTCTGATGGTTCGAGCTCACCGGCCTCTCCCTGTTGTTTTGCAGGAAATCCCTCGTCACTTGGATGTGGAATGGGCGCTCTACAGCCACATGTCAACGCCGGTGGAGGTCAGATGTACCCGCAGCAGGTCCATCAGGGCATGCAGCAAGCAGTGGTATCTCATCCTGCCTACCAGGGGCAACAGCACTTCTCCGACAACCCGCCCTACGCTGACAGCAACAACGCCAACTCCGGCTCCATGGCGTGCCTCTACCAGAACTACCAGGTGGAGCAATAAGTCATGTTTTGATCTGTGTAGTATTTCAGATGTTTTAGATGACATTTCTAATCACAATGGCCCCTCTCTGTATCCACAGCAGGGGATGCTGCCACACCCACAATTTGGGGAGGAGCAGCAGCCCCAAGGTGAGGGACTTCCAGCGGGTACGCCTAGCTCTGACAGAGCCCCCGGCGGAGGGCCAGAATCGGTGGACGCCATCTACAGAGCTGTTGTGGACGCAGCCAGCAAAGGCGTGCATGTAACCATCACCACAACAGTGAGCGGGACAACGCAGGCGAGTCCGGTGCCCGCCCTCAGTGCCATGAGTGCCTTCACTGCCTCCATAAGGGAACCCGTCAACCTCCCCCAGGCAGTCAGCGCAGTCCTGCATGGGCACCAGGAAGGGGAGACCATACCCCAGCAAGCCAGAGTGCGGCAGGTGAGGCCTGGGCGGGGTCAGAAGAACATGGATCCAGGGAAGAGCACTCCAGATGGCCCTGAAGCCAATGATTACTTCCGTTCTCCTGGACGCGGGACTCCCAGGGGGCAGTGGGACGGGGAGACTCATCATGGGGGAGGCTTCGACAGTCAGAACAACAACAACGCCTGGGGTGGTGAGGAGTTCCTGGAGTGCTCGACCCAAGTAAGGAGTAGTCCCTGCATGGAGAGACCTGCCAGTCTGGCCCCTGCGCCACCCTGCCCCACCGATGGGTCCAACGACCACGGCCTGGTGATGGCCCATGATAAGGCCTACCTCGATGATGGCTTCCGGTTCAACAACTGCGGTCGGGCGCCAGCTAACTACAAGGAACGTCTGGAGCAGACGGTGGAACGTTGCGCCCATCTCAACGGCGCCACGCCCCACTTCAACACCCGGGGCTACGGAGAAGTCCTGGGCCCTCCGCGGCAGGATGATGACCAGTCACCCAGCTCCTCCACGAGCCTGGAGGGCCCTCTGGCTACAGCCAAAGACTACAGCCACTACAACGGCCACTTCAATGGAATGGCGCCCAGCCCTTCGGACACGAAGAGCCTGAGCAGTGAGGAGGACCTCCGGCAGCCAGACTCGCCCTCGTCGGAGCTGCTCCACTACAGGTCCAGGACCTTCAACATGGGAGAGCTGGTCTGGGGCCAGCTGAAGGGCTTCCCGCCGTGGCCTGCAAAGCTGGCCGGGGATGAGCAAGTGCACAGCGCTGCCATGCAGCTGCGGGAGCAGGCCAAGGTGAGGGGCCGGGGTAGTCTGTCACCACCTGTCACCATTTTGCTGGCCAGCGCCTCAGCCTGAGGAGGCTATGAGCAGCAATCCCAGTATTAAAAGTTTCAGCGAGTCTTGGATTACAATGAATTATCTTTCAGTTAAAAGGAGTTGCTTGCCAATAAGTCGAGAATAACTCGTATTTGACTGTAACTTTCAAATATTGCAGCTTTGAAAAGTCAGAAGGAAATAGAGCTTTTTAAATTTCTGTCCAGCGGCCATCGAGGCAGATGGACTCCAAATCACTCCAAAAACACATCCACAGCTTTACCTGCCAAATCAGAAGTGCAGAACAGAGCATGTCCGACAAACGGTGACTGCCAAATTATCTGCTAGACGCACCGAAGTGATAAACCAGAGTTCAAATTGAGCATCAGTTCCTGGTGGTTGGTGGGAAATTTTCAGTCTGGTGCTGAATGTGCTCAAATTGATTCCACTTTTCTTTGTGCAGGTAGAGCCAGAGAAGCTGAAAACACTAACTCATGACTTGGAGGCATTCGACCGCGCCGCCAAAAGAGGCCTGAAGTAAGTAACCTCACCCAGCACACTGGTGCTTTATTAATAATATAAACCCACCTTTGCTGTAGTTTGAGCTGAGCGAGGCCTTTTCGTGCTTCCTCTGATGATCTTTATCCAAAGTGGCATTGACACCTAGTGGTTAAAGATGGTGTCCTGCAGCAAAGGAGAGGCAAACATTTGTTTAAGTGAAACAATAAAACTTTAAACGCTAATACTTTATTCAGTGGCTCTGTTTCCACAAATTACACATATACAGCTTCTTTTTTCCTGGGTAGATATTAAAAACTGTTCTAGTCTTTTATTTCAATAATCCAAAATTAAAGCTTTAAAGGTATGTTTAAGTGACCTATGTGTTACAGCACACTCGTATCATTTTAACACCTAAATATGGACACATTGGAGGTTCTGTAATCCTCTGAACAACAAATAATGATGGACGTCATCACAGTGTATACTATAAACTTGTGTCAAAATATTAGAATAGTGTAAAGTTACAAAAAGATCAAATAGTATATAAAATCATATACTTCCCTGTAACTTCTAAATTATCTTTCCTACACTGCTTATTCTTTTGGCTGCTCCGGTCAGGGAATCATCTGCCTCTATCTCACCCTAACGCTAGCTTCCTCCTCTGATGCCACCCCTCTGAATGTCCTCCTTCACTACATCCATGAACCGCTTGGCACCATCTCCAAACCATATATCACAGCAGGTCTCACTCCTGTATTACAACAGTGGGACGTTTTCAGTTAAAGAGCTATGAGAAGTTCATTAGAAGCATAAATAAACACGTTGGTCACATGCAGTTGAACCAGCTGCTTCTCCGGTCAGTTTCCTCATCCTGTAGATGGATTCAAGTGTAATAATTATTTTTTAAGCTTCCTTTTTGTTGTAGTTTCTAATTTTAAAGTTTTCTTCTGTCTAAAAGTAAATAATACAAATATTGTCTGACAGACCGGGGAAACTGAATAATCACTTGGAAGCTGCTATCCACGAGGCCATGAGCGAGCTAGACAAGATGTCGGGCACAGTGAGTATTTGTGCTTTTCCTCTCTTCTCATGCACTGCTGTTTCCCCCGCATTCACCACCACATCGTTTCCTGTGTGTGTGCCATCAGATCCCGTCGAGGGATCGTCAGGTGAAGCTCCCCAAGCCGAAGAGGAGGAAGATATCCAGATAACATTGAATGTGTTGGCCCAAGAACGTCCTCAGAGCCTTTCGGAGACTTTGTCCGTTCAGCCTTGATGCGATCTGAGCTCTCTAACAGGTGCTACACGTGGACTTTCAGTGGTACATCGTTGTTCCATGATATCAACTTGACTTAATGACTGACCACAGAAGGTGCTGGAAATTCCAATCACCACTACAGTTTATAGACTGTAGGAAAAAACATGAATACAGAAAAACATTAAAAACGGTTGCAATTTGTCTACAGCTCACTGAATTAACTATTTTTTTCTAGTATAAGATAGTAAAATAAACAAAAAAAGCTACAAGCATTACCTTACATATTTAAGAAAAATAGACAGTCCAAATATTTCTGATACATTTTCAATATGTATATAGATAATCCTGAAATTTCATGCTATTAAGAATTGTATGTAAATATTGTACAATGTCATGTACAACCGTACCTAATGCACATTTTATCTTTTATTGTACAAAACAAAGCAGAAGTGTACCAATGTCTTGGTTTCTATTCAGAAATGCGGTCGCATATGGCCGCATGCATAGGATAAATAAGAATACAGCCTAAAGCTTTTATATGATGAACTGTAAGATGTGCTGTTTTCTTTTTTCTTTCTTTTTCTTTTCTTTGTTGTTTTATTTTTTTGTAAGGGAACAGCGATGAAACTGACATGAGCTCACCATAACAGTAGTCACTCCAGCTAAGTGTTCATTTGTAATGGGGAGAAAAAACAGTTCAAAAAACACAGAATGAACTTTACCAGCAGAAAGTGTTCAGTGTCCCACCCCACCCACACCCTGTATCCCTACCCTCCCACACACCCACACCCTGTATCCCTACCCTCCCACACACCCACACCCTGTATCCCTGTCCACCCACAGCCTGTATCCCTCCCACCGAGACCCCAGCTGGCTCCACCAGTCGTGTTACTTGGTCTGGTTCTGGGTTTTTCAGGTGTTGTAACTTATGAACAAAAACTTTTTTTGAGTGTTTTCAGAAGGAAAAATCCACTCACAGACACTTGATTTTCCAAAACCTCCACAATGATTGTTTTTAGAAGAGGTTCATTCATTTGAAGTAAAAATGATGGGGAAAAAAGTCCTAAACATGTGTTGTCCATCTTCTGAAACGCCAAGACTTTTTTTAATGTTGTTGTAAATTAAATGCTATTAATTAATGTTGGACTTCAGAAGTTGAGCTCTTTCTGCCAGCGTGCTTACATACACTGTAGTCAACTCTGTTGACTTTACATCTGCTGGCTGTGCAGAGTTTTTAACTGGAACAAGTGTACATTGCAAAACAAGTTTGAGCCCATTTTAGGCTACAGAAATTGGTGGATATTGGTGGTCTTGGTGCATCTCTGAAAAACATCCCCAATTTAATGATTTCAGTGGTTTGGGGCTGAGGTTTTTGTGGTTTCTGAGCTGCGGCACAGAATAACGGAATGAGGAACCAGTTTTGAGGCTGCGTAGCGTCAGGTAGCAAGTGAGTTGGGGATATTTCAGTGGCAGGAGATTAATTTTGAACAGAATTTCAAGGCTGAAATGTCTGAATTTCTTAGGTAGCCCATCCCAAATTTAATAGCATGAGCAGTTCCAACATTGGTGTTGGGCATTTTTGGTTGCCTTTGGACCGTTGGTCTTTGGTTAGCATTTATAGATTTGGCACCAGATAATATGACCCTGAGCTATCTTGTCCTGTCTTAAATGCCTTTAGCTTACCTTTAAACAGCTTTGAGAAGCCCACATAGGGTTGCATTACACAGTGACACAGTAGCTTGGGGTAATATCAGTGAACACAATTTCCAATAGTAGCCCAGCCCATAATCTCTGATGTCAGTGATTCCAGCTTTGTGACTGGCAATTTTGCAGTGCTGTTGGAAGTGGCAGTCTTTATTTTGTAAAAATCTATGGAATAGGTGTCAGATTTGGCGGCAGCTTGATGGATGTAGCGCAGCCAGTTCTGCCTTGTTGTGTCTTGAGGACCAGCCCACATTTTGACAGTTTTAAAACAAATGTAATACAGTATTAGGTTGCAGAAGTTTAAGCAACTTCTTACAGTAGCTTCTCCCAACTTTGAGACTGGCATTTTGTTTTAGTGTTTGTTTTCTGTTGGGGGGTGCGCATGCTAATGCCTTGCTAATGCCAATGTTTTTGGGATCTATACAAGTTGTTTTTTGAGGGGCATGCATCTGTAATACACTGTAAAACAAGAGGTAGTAGATACTGGGGGTTGTATTTAGGGTTGGGGAAAGTTCTCTGGAACTACAATCATAATGGAAAGAATCTGTGTGCTGTCTGTTTGAAATCACTGTGCATTTCATGTAGTCCCAGACATCTGCCGCTCCAGGTTTGGGACCAGTATTTTGTGTTGGAAATGCATAGAGCTGGTTCTAGATTGGGCACTAGCACCTACTAATAGGGAAATATGTATCAGTGGTCTAATTAAGACTTTTTCTTCTATGTCCTCTTTTATGGTCAACCCTTTTTGGTTGACATTATTTTAAATCTGCAGATGGCATAGCTGGATGCTCTGTTGGCTAGGGTTAACTTCATGTCATTCGAGTGCTTACATGTAAAATGGCTTTTTTCAGGAGAAATATTTTGCTCCCTGATTACTGAAACCATAAAACTCCATCGCTACATGCATATAAACACACTGTG